CCATGAACTGGGTTGAGATCTGATCTAAATCTGTGCTTGTTAATAATGTCCCTTTATCTCATGAAATATTTTAAAGTTTTTACTTTGACCTATATAATTTATTTATTTTTTTTGAAATTTTCATAGGGGAAGAGATTGGTGAAGTTCGAACCCGCAACCTAATATTTCAACGGCTAACTGCGAAGTCAATAGGCAACCGTTGATCTTCCCTATATAAAATTATTAGCGATACCTAATGACTAAAGTCATTGTAAACTGAATTATGACACTGTGCATGCATTGGAATGTGTGTGTTGAAATGTGTGTGTTGGAGTGTGTTTATGTATGTATAGTTGTGTATTGTGGAGCGTGTGTGTTGAATTTTTGAAATTTAGGAGAAACAATGTGTTTTGGGTGTGTAAAATTTGAGGAAAAAATATATACCTCCATAAATTCAAAAACATATATGATTTATTATATAGATAGACTAAATTATAGTCTAAAATTACAAAAGTGACCCGTGAGATGTCAACTAATGAAAAATTTGGCATTGTTGATTAATTGGGAATTGGGATAGACTACAAATATTTTGATAAATTCAAGATAAAATATAGAATTTTAATCTTTTTAAAGGTAAAATAAAAGTGTGGTTCACCCTGAATAAATTCATAAAAATACTTAGAGCAACTCCAACGGCAGGTGCTATCAGGGGTGGCAAAACCCTAACTGCCAAAATGCCACCTTAAAATGAAAAATTTTCACTTCAAAAAGGGTGACATCAAGGGTTGCAAAATGGCACCAATGGACTTGGGGTGACAAATTTGCAAACTCTGGAGAGAGAAATTGAAAGTTGTAAAAGAGTCATTGGTGTCTACTGTTCCCTCTAAACGGTTATATTCAACTCAAAAAATCTATAAAAATACAAAGAGAAGGAAAAGGGAAAGAGACTTGCCTGAAAATTGCTTCCCTAAAAATCGTTGGTGTCTATTGGGTATATGCTATAACTTCACTAGGGTTTAGGGGAAGGGTTTGTGATCGTTCCAGATTTCTGCTACTATTTATTGTACGACAAATGACACCATGTACCCCAAAAGTTTTTTGTATTCTCAATTTATATATTAAATTTTTTTGTATTGCTATATTACACCATTAATTTTTTTGTATTGTCATGTTACACCATTAATTTTTTTTGTATTGATTATTTTATCTTACCTTTAAATTGATTATAATTTTTTTTTGTAGATGAATTCACAATTTGACAGTTATTTCATTGATTTGCTTATGAACGATACCGATTTATATGATAATGTCGTACAGACTAATCCCACAATATTGATGCCAGTACAAAGTGAAGCCGCTTCAAGAGTGAAAAAATCACAAGGGACAAAGAACTTTTTTATAGAAGAAAATAAATTATTGTATTTGCGTGACTTAACACGAATAAAAATGCAATTACTGGAAATGAACAATAAAGTGGTACTTTCTGGCATAAAATATTGAAATACTTATAATTTCATGGAGACAATCAAAAAAAGCATTTACAAGCTTCTATTAAAAGTTGTTGGACTGATATAAATACAAAATACAACAAATTTGTCGATTTTTATAGTCAAATTGAAAGACTACAATAAAGTGGACACACCGAGCAAGATAATGTAATTATTGAACTTTTTTAGATAGACACTATTATGATTTGATATTTAAACTATTGACTGAATGATTTTATATATTTTTCAGGTTGATGAAGCAAAAGAAATGTTTGCTAAGATCATTGAAAAATCATTTCAATACGAACATTGTTGGAATATATTGAAAATGGAGCGAAAATGGACTAATAATCTTGCCAGTAATAAGAGAGCAAAAACTCATTCAACTAGTAGTCCTGCTGAATCAACTCATGTTGAATCTTGTTATTCAAGTCCATATTTAGGGGATGACACTGAACCCTCGTTTACTCCTAACCTCGATAGGTCATTGGGCAGAAAGGCTTCGAATAACAACTTAAAAACAAAGAAAAGCAAACCGGTATTGAAGTATCACTAGATTATCACCACTGGAATCAAAGAATGGAAGTGAAACGACAAAAAGTTGAGCGACACGACAAAATTTATGCTCAACAGGGGATAGCATTGGAGCAACATCGTAGACAATCAGAAATTGAAGAAAGGCATGTGCAACAAAATGAAATGAAAATCATGAAAACTGACACTACTAGAATGGACCCAATTTCTGCAACATATTGGAATAACCTGAAGATAGAGATTGTGAAAAACGAGATTTTAATTTTTAGTCGTTATTTGTTATGTTGCTATTATTTTTTAATTTTTAGTCATTATTTATTATGTTGCTATTATTTCTGAAAAACTATGTATTGAAAATACAACTTGAAATTAGAATTGGAATTGAAAATACTACTTGAAATTGAAATTGAAAATACTGCTTGAAATTGAAATGGCACCCCATTTTAGAACCTCCTATTGGAACAGATTTATAATTTAGAGGTGTCAAAACACTGTTTAATGTTACAAAATAAAATTTGGCACCCCAAAAATAGCAACACCCTTTGGAGTTGCTCTTAGATGCTCCATATAGTGGTAGATCAATTTTTAGCCATCAATAAACTGGCAATTTTGTCTCTCACATCCAACATGATTTTATCACTTTGATACGGTGATGCTATGCCATTTTAAATATGTTGTATCATCAATTAATTATGAAATATTAAGTGCACTCAATGTAGAGGCAAGACCAAAATTTTTACCTAAAGGGAAGGACAAAATGTGACTAGAAATTATTTATCAACTCATACAAAAACAATTTTAAATTCAAAAGTATGAAGAAAAAATATTAAAATTCAAGATTAAATTATTATATAAAACAATAAAACTAGTTTTCATTTAGCCTAAACAAAATCTGAATAAAAAAAGTGGGCAAAACATATAATTGGTTAAAAAATTAGGGGGAGAAATACAATAAATTAAATAAAATTATCATGCAATAATATTGCATAAATAAAGAAGATCCAAAATTGAGGGGAGGGGAAAACTGCCCCCCCCCCAACTAACTCAGTGGATCTCACTATTTCAATAACCACTAATAATCACCATCTCTATTAAATTTCACTTTGAAATATTTAGGTTCTAGCTATTTGAACCCAATAAAATATATTTCTTGGATTGCAAGTGGGTCCCATCCAATTTTAAAACTTACAATTAATAATAATAACTAAAATAAATTGGATTTTTTATTAATTTTTAAAATTATCCGCGCTTAACTCGGCTCTATTGACTCCCCCTTAGACCTCTGTATAAAATAGAACAATGTTATTTGAATTTAAGTTATTGACTTAATTTATTGATTATCTAGTTATTCATAATCATTAGATTGACATTGACGCTCAGTATTTAATACAACTCATAACTGCCACAATATTTATTACAATTCATAACTAATATAATGATTACGATGGATTAAACTAATTAAGAATAATGCTACTAGAATCTAAAAAATTTGACTTAGTTTGTTGACATAATGATATAATTTTATTGTAACCGTTGAATTAATATCAAGTTCTAACGATTGATGAAACTCACAACCAATCCACTGACTATAGTGAATTAACCAATCTATTTCTAATTATGACTTATGTCGAATAAATGTACAAAGGTGATGGTGGAAATTTGAAGTTATGTGATGAACAATGACCACACCCTCCTCCCCAAAAAAAAAAACACCAACAACACACATAGGATGGAAAAATGATGGCTTTTGATTGAATTTGGAATTTCTACTTGGTGGCCATTAGAATGACACTTAAACTCAAAGTGGGTGGTGGACTTTCTTCGATGAACAATATTATTTAGACCTAAAATATAGATATAATTTTTGAGAAGTACTATTTGGACAAAATATTGATAATATTTGTTGACTTCGTCTATCATAATCATTGAATAAGTAGTATGTGACTCAGTTAAATCAATAACAATGACAGTAATGTTGAGAGTCGACAAATGTTGTCAATATTTTTTGTTCAAGTTGCATTGCTCATAATTTTTTGACCTTATCAAGCACTATTATTAATTTAATTGCAAATCTCAACATTTACTAAAATTTACTATTAATTCAATAACTATGTTCGATTAAATTAACAAATTACTACAGCATTTTAGATACAGCTACAATTTTCCTTCCCCAATTATGGGGTTCTAGTTTGTTGGTGCATTGGTGAGTTTTGCCTATTTACTTAATCATGCCCACTACATACATAGTTTTTCTTGTACATTCAGGTGGTACATTCTCACTGTTCATACAGTATCTTCCAAGTTAGGAGTTCGACCGTTTATTCCTTACACATTTTTTCCAAAAAATATCGCGTCACTTAATTTTATTATATATTTAATTATTTAATATTTAATTAATTTATAATTTAACATAATTTTTATTTTATACACTATTTATATATATACATGTTTAAAATTTGTTGAGTTATACATTTTGAAAAAAAATTGATATTATTTTAAAAAAAATAAGTAAAAATTAATTTTAAATTATGTAAGAAAAGAAATAAAAAATTATAATTTATTATAATAAAATTAATTTTTTAAATGTTCGAATTTTATGTCACCGCTTGTCTATGTGACCAAAGCTGTACGAGCAATCAGTGAAGGACAAATATCAAGAAGAAAATTGGTCATCTTGCCTCATTCACACACTCATTGACTCAGTTCCAATGGCTTCGTCTTTTTTCCTCTGCATCTTCTCCGTCTTCTCTCTCCTCACCTTTTCTTCTTCATCACCAGACACCATCACCATCTCTCTCTCACCCTTCACCAAAACCCCACCCTCCAAGCTATGGCAGAGGCTCAACCACCACGCTTCCTCATCTCTCACCAGAGCCCACCTCCTGAAACACCCGAACAAAAACAATTCTCTCACCAAAACACCTGTGTTCCCTCAAAGCAATGGAGGCTGCTCCATGACTCTTAGCTTCGGCACACCCCCCACAAACCCTTCCTTTCGTCATGGACGCTGGTAGTAGTCTAACTTGGTTCCCATGCACACAACGATATAGGTGTTTCTCATGTAACTTCGGAAACATTAACGCCAAAAACATATCAACTTTCATACCAAACCAATCATCTTCTCCGAAGCTTTTGGGTTGTAATAACCCAAAATGCGAATGGTTATTTGGCCGGAATGTTAGTTCTCAGTGCGAAGACTGCAATGGAAATTCCGATAACTGCGCACAGACTTGTCCAGCATATTTGCTCCTATATGGGTCTGGAGGGACAAGTGGATTACTACTTTCTGAGAACCTTGATTTTCCTGACAAAATTGTGAGTGATTTCATCGTTGGGTGTTCACTTTCATCGCTCCGAACACCCTCCGGCATCGCCGGATTTGGCCGTGGGCCGGAATCGTTGCCGGCGCAGATGGGTGTCAAGAAGTTCTCATAATGTCTAGTGTCTCACAAGTTTGACGACTCTCCGGTAAGTAGTGACCTTGTTTTGGTTGGTGGGTCAGATTCCGGCGACCGGAATTCCGGAACAGTGAGCTACACACCGTTTTACAAGAACCCAATGGCATTTACAGATTATTTCTATGTGACTCTCATAAAAATCACGGTCGGAGGCAAACAAATCAGACTTCCGTACAATTTTCTGGCTCCGGGATTGACGGCAACGGCTGAACTATGGTGGATAAGGAAGGTTATGACCTGGTGGCTCAAGCATTTGAAAAGCAAATGGCCCACTATAGTAGAAGTGCTGACGTGGAAAATAGGTCTGAGTTAATGCCATGTTTTGATATTTCGGAAGAATAATTCGTAATTTTTCCAGATTTAATCTTTTATTTCAAAGGTGATGCAAAAATGGACATAACTTTGGCATATTATTTTTCATATCTTGGATCGGGTGTTGCTTGTTTGACGATCGTCTCGAGTGGTGCCGGAACTAATTCTTCCGGCCCTTCAATTATTATCGGTAATCATCAGCAACAAATTTTTTACATGGAGTATGATTTAAAATATAAGAGTAATGGAGAAGGCTTCTTTAGTATTTCGTTAGAAAAATGAAGTTGTTCGTAAAAAAAAAAGAATAACAGTTTCAAATAGTCGTTAAGGTGGTAGTGGTGACGGCAAAAAACTATGGTGGTGGTTTTGGCGACAATGGAGTGTTTTATTACTTTTAACTTTTTGTGTCAATAATGAAGATATTGGATCTAATTGTGGAACTCTGAAGTAGATTATCATGTATCGTATCTCGTATATTTATATTTATATTTATATTATTAATAAAAATATCTTAATATAAAAACATTTTAATTCACTATTTCGTTTTTATAAAATACTTATAAAGACTAATATGTCCTTTTATATTTATGTATTCAAATTACTATAATATTCTTTTGTATCTAAATAATAAACTAATCTCTAACATATCATACAAATTGATCATGATGGACTTCGGTTTGAGCTGCCCATTCAAAGTCCAAAATATCCGACGACCCCTGGTTACATGACAACCTAAACGACTCATTCGCAACGTGCCCACCCCGCCATAAGCATGGGCCACAACTCATGGAAGGGAGTCCAATGATGTCCAGATTGGTATATGTCTACTCGATCGTATCAAGCTCGGCAAGTAGTAGACCAACCCAGGAACTAAGAGCTCAGTATGAGATAGATCTCAAGCTGCTCCCATCGTGCCACGTGTCTAGGGGACAAGGGGACAATTTCTAGAGTCCATAATGAACAAACACTCCCTGGTAAAAAAAATATTTATTTTTATACCATTTTGAGGATCATGGGTACAATATGCGTCAGAGAAGTAGACACCATTACAGGACATAGGAAGAAAGGACCACAAAATCAGCCAAGAAAATGAAGGAATCTTATAAAGCCATAGATGGTCGCATGTATAAAAAAAATACGAAAGCAATGTTTAAGGGGTCCAGAATCTTACTTTTTGCAATATACTGTGTAAAAAAAAAGGCTTTTAGCCAAGTAACCTACCAGATGTAGCCTTAATCTATTGGTTAGGGTGAACCACTTATATTTTATTCTTTAATCTAACATCGATATTTGCTTTCTTATTATCCTAATATCAACGGAGCCTCCACCGGGTCTCACACAGTCATTGTTCTGCAATTGAGTACAGTAATTTCAAGTACCATCACAAATATCTCTATAATTACAAAATTTTTGAATTGTCATGTTATGCTTAGTATGATATATAAAAACAACATCATTATTTTTTTTCAAAAATCCATTATTAATACACGTTGACAATCCCATTAATACAATATCATCTCTAATGCTAAAAAATAGATATATTTTTCTTATTTCTTCATTCATAATCAAATAATTTGATAAAAAATTATTGATGCACAAACTAAAAACAAGAAAGATTAAAAAAAAATCGAGAAAAGAAAAATCTAGGAGTCTTTGCTATTTAGTAGCTCGAATGAAATAATTATCGAAAATAAGTCTATTGAATATTTATATTTATAAAGAGAAGACAAACAATTTAATTATGATAAATATGAGATAACATCTAAATTTTCACGTATAATGCACGTCAAACATTGCTAGTACATTCAAGGGTCACTTGCTATATGCCCTTTATAGGAGTGCTCCTATTTTCAATTTTTAAAGAATCTAAGATGGATGTTAAGAGCTAAATTGGAATTAATTTATGATATTCAGGGTTTAATGTAAAAATAATAATATTTCAGAGTATAAAGTATGAATGGAAAATTTTTTGATTTGTACAAAGCTTAATGTAAAAGTAATAATATTTCAGAGTATAAAGTGAGAATCGAAATATTTTTTGTGGTGCAAATTACAAAAATTTCAAAAAATAATATATTTAAAAGATATTAGTATGGACGGATTGAACCATAGTTTTAAAACTCAGTTCGAACATCAACTCAGGAAAGAGACCAAGTCAATGAGTCACTGGTTCAATCGTCATTCAAGTATCATTGCTCATAATTTTTTGACCTTATCAATTACTATTATTAATTTAATTATAAGTCCCAATATTTATTAAAATTCAATACTAATTTAATAATTGTGACACAATTAACATTTTCCGGTTCTAGTTTGTTGGTGCATTGGTGGGTTTTGCCCATTTCCTTGATCATGCCCACTACATATTTTTGTCTTGTACATTCAGGTGGTACATTCTCACAGTTCATACAGTAACTGCAAGTCAGAAAAAGGTAATGGCTGGGCCGGATGTTTTGATACGTGGTTAAGGTATTCAAATTTTTGATTGATTTATCTTATCCGATCCTATCTTATTCTATTGAATGGCTAGCCGTAAAAATTGGGTAGGAATACGGAAGAATTTTTAGTTTTTCGATTAAATCGGATAAGAATGCGAAATACTCATCAATTTTCATATTCCTATCCTATTTTACCCACAAAAAATATATTTAACTTTTTTTATATATTTTTAGTAATTATAAGAGTATTTGTGTGGTATAATTTATATTATAATAATGTTATTGTTGTGGATGTTTTGAGTCGTTAAAACATGAATTTATTTTTTGTGTAAGTTACATGATTTGTAGTGAACTGGTGATCTATTAGAACAATTATGATTTTAATGTATTTCATATGGTTTAAATTTAAAATAATTGTTATTATATTTGTGTAACAATTATGATGGATTGATGTTCATACTTTTTTTTTGTGTTTTATTGTAATTGTTGTTGTAGTTGTTTTAAGTTTTAGTGTTATTGATTTATTGTGTTTTTAAGTTGGTGTATGTTATTTAATTGAATTATTAAAATGATCCAAAAATTAATAACTACAAAAATATTTGCATGACTTCCTACCTGATATCCTACCCAATTAATTGGATAGGAAGTCGGGTAGGAATACCAAACCTGATCGAGTAGGGTAGGTCAAGAAAAAAAATTTCTCAAAATATCGAATAGGAAGACGAAAGACTATATTTTCTACCTGTAGGGTAAGGTGAACATCTCTATCTGTGAGTTGGCGAGACCCGATTTAACATGAATAATTTATGGGCTGACCCAGTCCACTGGTAAATATTCAATATCAATATATAACAGATACACTACATCACCATTGAGATATGATATCACCATTTGATTGTAAACATATAATTGAGCAAAGTGAACCCCACATTTTTAAATGAGTAGTTACTCTTTACATAGATAAGGTAAGTCTAAATCATGTGAGGTTCATTTGTCTTCCTGTAATTTTATTATTACCGCGTAATAGTGACAATGTAGTGCGATTAATTGCAAAGAACTCCCTATACTTAGAGACAAAAGTAAATGGCATCCCTCAACTTTCAACTTTTGCATTAAACCTCCTTAAACTCATGATCAATATGCAAAAATGAATGAAAATTACAAAATTTGCAAGACTAAAATATCCTCACCATTTTATTCAATTTTCGTTGTAATGCCGTATCTTTAATTTTTTTGGTTCATTTGGGTCAACTTATTCAAATTTGGACTAATTCTTTCCTCGGATCGGTCAAAGGTAGGCAATCCACGTCGGAGATTAGGATATTCATGAGAGATTTATATCTCATGACTTAGGTCCAAAGATCTGCTAAAATTTGAACTTATGACAACTGAGTTTAATTTCATGTCTTTATCGCAAACCTACTCTCTATCTCCTTCTCACTCATATGTTAACCACAATAGAAGACATCGTCTATAAACCTAGGAGCTATGCTATCAGAATCTAATTTATTGTAGATATTAAATTCATTATAAATTCCATCAAACATTAAATTTTGATATTAGTCCACCAGTTACAATGAAATTACATCATTAAGTCAATAAATTATATTATATTTTTAGGTTCTAATAGCATTACTCTAAACCCAGAGACAACAAGGTGACATACATTATAGAATTGGGTGGCTTGTTCATTTAGTGTCTAATTTTCAATTCTTGTTTTAAGATTGTAATGACACGACCGCATGCACTCTAGAGTATGTATTTCAAAGATTAAATGTAAACAATATTATTTCAATGTATTTTTTATGAATCATAATACACTGTATTTATCTAACAGTCCGCTATCAGGGGAGCAAAAAAAAAGTAGAGCTTTTACAATATTTGTTGTTAAATGACACAAATAATGGGTTGAATGTCTTTGTTTCCATATTCGTGAACTTTGTCTTTACTAGTTATTACGTTATATTGACTAGGTTAAGAATAAGTATGTAAGGATTTGGCGTGCGTATTGAATCTTGGTGTTTGATTATATCTGCGTATTCAATTTGTTTTTTAATTTCGATTTATATTTAGCAAAAAAATAAAAACAATACTACTTCAACTTGGCGTGTGACTTCAAACAATAGCACTCACCTTATGTGATGACATTTTAGGGTTAGATAGAATAGGGCGTGTTTTTAAAATTATATACCACGAGATTTGTTAAAAAGTTAGATGCATCCCCCTTCGTTTGAAAAATTATACTACCAGCCCGTAAGATTTGGTTGTTTGCAGCATCCAACTCTTTTATTTTACAGAAACTTCTAAATTGTCATCAACACGTCAAAAAGCTGTGATTTTTTTTTTTTAAAAGATTGTTCACTCTCTCATCTCTCTGTCCTAACAGTGTTTTGAACATTTATATATCTATTAAATTTCCATGTTTGTAAGTGACAGATGCTATTGTTGGGCACAATATTGATTGAAATTTGCCTCTATTTTTTTTTTGGGGGTTCCTAATTGTGTTTAGAAGTAGAACCAAAAATCCACCACCCCCAATCACGACAATAGAGTAGAGCAACAACTAAGGCACCGAATGCAAAATCATCAATCCCATCCATTACAATCAAGACACACGAAATTAGACCCTAACATCCTACACCACTACCCATTTTGGACACACATTGTTGTGACCATGCTATGCATCTTTGTTATGTTTACTTCACCTTATGTTAACCTTAAAGAGTAGCTTAAGTGAAGATAGGGACAAATTATAAACTCAGATGTTTTTTAGTTTAAAACTTGATAATTCCTTGGGGCCAGTCTTTTGGATGTTAGTACAGTTTGATTAGTAGGATGAATTTTCATTAACTGGACGAACCGTATTTAAGATTTGGGTGTGAATTGAACTTCCTACCTACTGTTCGAGTCTTGATTGACCGTTACACGTATTGAGAGGCTGGTGCATGGGACACTCTTTGAATGTAAATTACTTCTCTGAAGAGGCTAATATTAGCTTTGACGAAGATAATTCCTTTAGACTTAACCTTTTTTACTTCGCGACTCAAACAAACAAGCATCTTATTTTTTATTTTTTGGTATTACAGTCAAGAATATTTAAGATAATTTATGCACACCTCAATTAATTTTCTTTCTAATCTAGTCAATGACAAACCATCTGCACTAAGACTAGGGAATTCATGACATGTAAATTCTTCTTAACCTGGTCTCAATAGAGTTGTCAAATTTTAAACTCAAAATATTTAAATTTATAACACATCCTTATTTTCTATCTGGATTTATGACTCATCCCCTGTTTTTTAGTGGACTATCCCTTGGGTTCTAAAACACAAGCTTCGAGCACCACATTCCAAGTACCAAAATTGAGGCAGTTGAGGTTAATACACAATTAGTCCAAAATACATGGCCTGAAAGTGCAAAACAAACCCCCAATATTTTGTAATTTTTCCTCGCTTTTCTTCCCTCCACATCCATCCGAACTAAAATTTCCCTCCCTTCCCTCGTTTTCTCCTCTCTCTCTCTCCCCACACTTTCCCCCTCCAATGTCCAAACCCCCATTCACTTTCTCTCTCTAAAACGGTAAAACCCTCGCAAAATCCCCTCTCCGATACACAGAAGCACACATCGAATCAAAGCATCGAAGTACCATTGAAGGCTTTCTCAATATCATTTCAATCCAATGTCTGGTGCTCGTGGTCCGACCCGCCCGGCGGTGAACGGAGGAGGCCAGATCCTTCAGCCGATCAAGCGCCACATACCCTTCTCATCAATGAAGCCGCCGTTTATTCCTCCTGAGGATTACCACCGCTTCCCTTCCAACGGCGATGATCGGCGAGTCAGCTCCGCCGCCACCGTTAACGAACCCGAAGTTTTAATAGTCAAATCTCCTGTAAGTCTTCGTTCTCATATATTAGCAGATTTTGTTAGCTTCTCCTGATGATTTTGGTGTGGTTTATTCTTTATTGTCAAATTGGTTATTGTATAATTTTTGCTGTGAGATGATGATTGTGTGATTTTTTTGTTACCTTTCTGTTGAAAAAGTATAGCTGGGATTTATTATATTTCAAGTTTATGACACTGGCCTGACTTTGGATTGAGGAGTTCTTGTGGTAAATCTGTTTTTATGTTGTAGAATCATCTGGAATGTATTTAGGGTAGGTTAGTTTATAGCTACACAAACCTTCTTTAATTGCAAAATGCTTTAATTTACCTGTATGGGTTTATGAATTTGCTCAGTTTTTGTGTTTGCTTATGATTTGTAACGTGAGTTACATTTTTTTTTGGGTAAATAAATGAATTTTTATTGATATGAGTGAAAGTTTTACAAAGATAGGGGAAAAGTAATCAAAAACCCAAAGCAGAGACAGATACGTTCAGCAAAGCAAAATGATCTATTGCATTCACAACAGATCCACGCCCCACTCCTCAAAACAACAGTGCAAGGGAACTCATAGGATCTGAAATCAGAGGACAATCACAACAATTAGTTCAACATCCAATGTCCAGAAACATTATCCAGACAAGTCAGCAAGCTTTTTCCAGCAGCAACTAATTTCTTCCACGCAATCTACTAGCTGAAACTCCAATTTCCCATATTAGTTACATGACTGTTCCTTTATAAAGAACGGTGTTTATCTTTGCCACATGCAAAAGGAGTTTTGAGTTTGCCATTGAATAATGCTGCATGTTATGTTATTTAATATCCATGGCTTAAAGCAGATAGTTTCTGTGCCATAGAATTCTGATAATAATGCAATTTATTTGTAATTGGCTCTGTTGAAGAGCGGAGTGCAGAAATTTGGAATTTTTTTTCCGTAGCATTTACGTTTTTTCAAACAACTTTATGATAGTGGACTGCTTTTTTAGTTATCTTTGTTGCTTTTGGCTCTTGTTCTTTATAAATGCTCGACAGTTGAACAAGAAGATACTTTTTGTAAATCAGAATCTTAAGATGATTTGTGGGAATGAAAAATTACAATGTGATATCAATTAAGCTACTTGGTTGATTTGTTTTCTGAATTGATAACGCTATATATTGTCTTGTCTGTTAAATGGGGTTGTCGCAAGTTATTGACAATGATAGCCTGCAAAATTTGGTAGGTTAGGAATGCAATTGGGTCTTTAACTTGCCTTAGAGATTAGAAAAATAATATGAAAGCTTGAAAATATCATTGGCAGTTATGAGTGTATTCTTTTAAGATATAAGAAGGAAGATTGTATTACCCAATTACTTCTTTAAAATGGTAAATCTCTAGACGTGCATATGAGATTATGTAATAGCCAGTGGATTAGCTTGGATTTCACGTGGTCCTTATATATCTGGAGGTAACACTATTAGAGGAAGGAAGGAGAGGCTGGGAGGGAGGACGAGTGAGTTCGAACCAGAATTTTGGTTTCTATTTTCTTGCTTTCCTTTCTAAAACATGCTTTCCTTCCTTTCTTCTTAAATCAAATGCTACCTAGCATAAGGTAGTCAATTGCTGTGCAAGTGAGTTGAATCCAAAATATTGAAGTAATTACTTTAAATTGTGATACCTCATCCAGCAGTAAAACGACCCCTATTGTGCTTAGGTGTGGTTGTGCAGCTATTTAAACCCTATTTTCTGGAAGATGGCAATGTGAGTCTTTTTTAGTTAAGCATTTAATCAATGAAAACTGCTTGCATTCTTTTGTATATCATTCCCAAAATATGATAATACAGAAACCATGAAGTCTTTTAGAAAAAAAGTATGGAAATAATACGTTTGTTCCATGAACCCATTGCATGGCTTAAAAGTTGAATCTGCATAAGAAGATCTACTTCATTACCATATTCGTATTAGAATTCAAAAGGGAAAAAAACATCCGTGTAGCAAAATTGGGGGCCAACATGATTAAATGATTGTAGAAGAGACTCATTGCCATCAGTTGTTGTTAGTAATAATCTAGATTAGGAATTGTCTTTCCTTCATTAGAAGCTTAACCATCTTTACCGTGACTCATATTAGATAATTATTGTTCATATGAAATGCTTGTTACATTGGACCAATTGAGGATGGCCAACATACCAGTTGCGTGTAGTTGGGAAAATTAGCTCTACATCAGTGCACCCCCATCACCCTCTATTGGTGGGTGCATGCATTGAGTGATGGTCTTCTACAAGATTGCTGTAGATTTTCCCTTTACATTTTTACCAACCTTTCTTTTAAGTATTTAATTTGCACATAAAAAACGAATCAATTGGCAGTTGGTATTATTTCAAAACTATACCCCTTTTAAGTGGTGTAAGCTTACATTGTTTGTCAAGTTTGTTGGCGCAAGTCACCATCATTGAATGTGTTCAATTTTGATTTTAAACAGAATGTAGTAATATTAATTTTCTCATTCAAAAAAAAATAAAAATTGACAACTTTTTAACATATTGTTTGGAGATCTTACTCTTAGGCCAGTTGCATTGTTATGTTATGGCTGTCATTGCTGGTAACTCCCACTATTAGGGTGAAGATCTTATAGTATGTTCATGGCCATACACTTTTGAGCCTCCACCTGATGTTTGGTTTACAGCATTTAATGAACCTTGCATCCCAAATCACAATCATTTTCACGTGGTTGCTTTTCTTTTCATTTTGTTCTTTTTCAAGGAATGGATCCCATCTCACCATGCATTTGCACCTAATTTTTTTAACAATTCCATGGTGTTTCTCAGCCATTAAAAAGGAAGACCATAACAGACTACAACGATGTCGAGTCTAGTGGGTGGACTACAAATTCTGGATACACCGATATAGTCAACAGTCCCCTCAGCACGCCTGTATCTGGAAAAGGACGGAAAACAAATGCCCGATCAAAGGTGACAAAAAGCAGTAAAGCTGGGCCTCAAACACCAATGTCGTCAAATGCTGGTGAGATATGTCGTCCAATATTTTCTCCAGCAGTAGTAGCTTTTTTCCTAATCACTAACTTTGTGACTACTATTTGCATATGAATTCCATTGAAAACATGTCCTTTGATACAAAGTGCTGCAGATGTTATAAATCCTACGTCTCCTTTATTCGTCACTAACCTAAATGGTTTTGTATATTTGCTCATGTTACACCTACATGATAATAACCAAACTGGGCAATGACCCTTTTTCACACATAGATGGTATCCCCAGGGAAAAGACATGATAATATTGTTATTGACTTAGTTGTTCTATATGCAGGTTCTCCTTCACCGCTTACCCCCGCTGGCAACTGCCGCTATGACAGCTCCTTGAGTAATTTCATTACTCGTTGCATTAACATTCAATAAATCACTAAAAACTGTATCATATTTTACATCAAGCACCAGTAGCAGTATGAGTGATCCTTGTATGCCATGCCTTTCAGGTCTTTTGACAAAAAAGTTTGTCACCTTGATCAAACATGCAGAAGATGGTATTCTTGATCTAAACAAAGCTGCTGACACTTTGGAGGTGATTAATTTGCTTGATAATTTCATGATTTATGCACTTAAATACATTCTAATTAGATGTTATAATGATACAGGTGCAGAAAAGGCGGATATATGACATAACAAATGTTCTTGAAGGAATTGGTCTAATTGAAAAGACACTGAAGAACAGAATACGCTGGAAGTAAGGTTTTTTTGTACGTTTAAGTATTTGCGCTAGTTTCTATCATTTTGTATGGAGTTTGAGGTAAAAAGTTGAAGGTGTGGGAACTTATGTGAGAACATGTTGAATGATTGATTAGAGGACTTGATGCTTCAAGACCAGGGGAGGTAGATCACGATGCAACTATTTTACAGGTACATTAAAGGGGATATTGCCTTTGTTATGTGAATACATGTGAAAACTTAGATCTTTTCCTATATCATGTATTGTTTTCGAAATTTGTTAACCTTAATTGGTTGATCATGTGTCCTGGCTTCTTTATTTTTGGATATCTAGTTATTGCTGTCTCATCTACATTATCCATTTGCTGTCATGATTATAAGGATCTTATTCATAAGTGATGTGATTTTGTGCTGTGTTTTGTGTCTTCAGGCGGAAGTTGAAAACCTTTCTATCAAAGAACAAAGATTAGATGAGCGCATAAGGTTATATGGTTATTCCATTTTTTGAATAGTCATATCTATTTGAAACCATCAAATTTTGCTGAGGCTTTAGACTGTTGCAGAGAAATGCAGGAAAAATTGAGGGATTTGAGTGAAGATGAAAATAATCAGAGGTAAATTTCTCCTTCCCACACTTGATTTTTAAACCGAGTTAACAATTAGGCCATTTGTTCATATCTTAGTTCATTTTCTGACTGTTTTAGGTGGCTTTTTGTGACTGAAGAGGATATCAAAGGCCTTCCCTGCTTTCAGGTCAGTGTTTTTTGGCATGTGGTGTTTGTACATTGTACAGTGCTACTGTGATCATCTCCCACTTGGCTTGAATCCTGAAACTTTATTTTGTTAAATCTCTCCTATCAAAAATTTTGTTAAATTTCATCAGCAACCAAACCTTTTACCCCTTAATTCTCTCAGAATGAAACCCTTATAGCGGTTAAAGCTCCACATGGAACCACTCTTGAAGTCCCAGATCCTGATGAGGTAAGTTAGCAAAGTAAAGCTCGTGATTACCTTATGTTTTCTGATATGTGAAGGGATTTTCTTGTCTATGTATCAGTCGGTTGACTATCCACAGAGGAGATACAGAATAATTCTCAGAAGCACAATGGGTCCCATTGATGTCTACCTTGTCAGGTATTGTTCCCTATTGACTGGTACAGGTATCTACTTGTGTCTAATTAGTAATCGTCTTCCCTTCCAATCCTCATAACCCTTTTTTTTTGTTCATTCATTTTACAACCCATATTCGTTTTAGTCAATTTGAGGAGAAGTTTGAGGAGATGAATGGTGTTGAACCATCCATGAACTTCCCGCTTGCTTCAAGTTCGGGTTCCAATGAGAATCTGGCAACAGAGACAGCCACTATGGGGATCAGTGGTCTCCAGATTGAAGCACAGGCACAGGATGGTCATAGAATGAGCTCTGATCCCAGTGCTTCACAGGAGTATGCTGGGGGAATCATGAAGATTGTCCCCTCTGATGTGGACGTAAGTGTGGCTATCCTGATTAATCTTTTGAACTAAGGGATTAAAGGATCACAGATTTGTTCACCATAAAACATATCTACACATTCTGGTAATTTATATCTAAATTCTCTTCATTTATTTACATTCAAAATAAACCTGCAAGCTAAGGCATTGCATTACATTCTGTTGTAATGGAAAATACAATGCAGAAAAGATCGTCTGGATGAAACACGTGGGATTAAGACAACCTAGTGAATACGTTAATTCAATTTGACGATGGAACAAACGCCAATTTTAAACATAAGAACCCTTTTTTTACCAAGAACAACGCAAACATGTCATGTAGATTGATGTTGTGAATATGTCGATTTATGATTAACATTCAATCTCTCATGACAATGCAAATTCCATCCAAGGCAACAATAACCAAAACTACTATTAATGAATTGAAAGCTAAACAATCAAAATATCAAACACATAGTGTATGTGTGTGCATAAATTGCAAGTGCATAAGCAAATAAAGCAATAAAGACATACAAGTGATTATTGACGAGAAAATCCAACCGGAAAAAACCATGGGGAACCACTTGGGACTGGCCAAAGCCTAATCCACTATCTTAAGGTCGATATGCAAGTACTCGAATCTTATATTTCAATCTAAACCATGATTAGACGCTCATTTCCTTCAACAGAACTCTCCACCGAAAGTCTTTCTTCGATGTTATGGATGATTTCACTTGAACTCTCCACCCTAATGGATTAATTAGGTGATGTGGACTAGGAAGGGAAAAATTAGGGATGAGAAGAGAAAAGAAGAAGAAAGGGACGAGAAAAGAGAAAGAATTTGAAAAGGAAGTAATATTAGTATTCAATAATAATCAATAACAATTAAAGTCTAATCTGAATAAAAGCCTTATATGTATCCCTTTATATAGGGAAACTAAAATCCTAAAACAAATAAATAATAACAAATAAACTCTCAAAAGTTAAAATAAATTACTTAAAAGATAAATATTAAAAGTATATAAATAAATATCATAATTAATCTATAATATCTATCTAATTTTTATACGATCCCCATTATTTTTTCCCGGTTGAGAAAAACTGTCATTTGAATAGTCTTCAAAGCAGAAACACCTTAAGAGAGCAGCATGAAGATGACTGAACGCCTCATTTAGAATGAAAGAGCCATCAACATCTTTTCATTGATCAGGATAAATGCAAGAATTTTTATCTGTATGAACACTTGCTAATAAAATAGGAGATTTTGGAGTATCTCGATTAAGTAGCATGTTCTCTAAATAAAAGTTTGGACTAATACTAACATTTAATGAAAAATTAAGCAAATAAACATTAGATCTAAATTCAAGAATAGAAAAAAAATTTCCAATAAACAGACTTCAATGATAAAGGAGTAATAATAACGCTTTGGTGTTAAAAATAATTAAGGACAAACACAAGTGAACACTTGACAGTAGGTAGAGGAACAAAGTTAACAATTTTAGATTGGGAAGAATCCGTAACAAAGTCATGATTACTTGGACAAGTAAACACAAAATAGTCACTAATAAATTTTGTAATAAATTACTCGATTGACTTAATATCTTGCATAGGTGTAGATTCAACAGACTTTTTCACAATTTTCAAGACCAATGATGGTTCAAAAATTGACACAAGTAAAGATTCACACACTTTCTTTTGATATGAACTCTTGTGGGTGCAAAGGAGGACTCTGATCTGATAAAACTGAATGGGGGAGTTGAAAGTTAATATGAGTAACATTTTTCTCTTTATCCGATACTAGCATATCTAAATCTTTTGCCACATTCGGATTAGGAAAGCATGCAAAAATAATATGGACATCGTTCAAGTAATCATGATACTCATATATGGTGGAATTAAAATTAGAAGGTATTCTGTCATGCTGTTTAGCAGACTGTAATTGATAACCTATCAAGCTATAGTTGAATTTCTTATGAAGTTAATCAACCTTTAGAGCATATTGATTGATAGCCACTAACGTACTAAACGTGTATAGCTTGACCTCTCTACTAATTTTTGGTCTCAACCCAAGAATAAATTGATCAATTGTCTAAGGTTCATCAACAATGTCACACAAGTACATGAGATAATCGAACTAGACAAAGTAATCAGAGACACTAGAAGAATATTGCCTAAGATTGAGCTATTGGTCATAAAATTGATTCGTGTAGGAAATAGGTAAATATTTATCTTTCAATTTATATCTCATTTCAACCCAGGTGATAGGTGATTCTGCTAAGCAGTCTAGTCTTCTTTGGATTGCTTGCCAATATTGTTTGGCAGAACTATTGAACATCAATTTAGCAAAACGGACGCAATGGGAATCCGACATGCCATGCCAATCAAAATATTCTTCTAAATTAGCTAACCAATCCAAGAATTCAAAAGGGTTTTAAAGTGTCATTAAATATAGAAAGATCTTTGACTAGTTTGGTCATATGGATTGACTTCACGTAAATATCCCTAGACTCTCTTCGACGAGAGACTCTTGAAACATGTGCATTAGAGGAATTCATGAGACACGCTTGAAAGATGAGAATGGTATAAGAATAAATTCAAGAATGCAATTGACAATTTTAAGAAGTGAGAAAGTTTAAACATAAGAAAATGTGTTTTTGACCCTTTGTAAATTCTCTAATTTTCTAATGAATAAAAATATTAGTCTCAAATTCTACGTTAGTATGCATACTATAATCAAGAGAAAATTTTAAAACTTTTTGGGATGATTTTATAATTTTTAAAACTTTTGGGGATGTTTATGCAATTTTTTGAATATGTTGAGAATTTTTCTACAATTCTAGAGCTTCTAGATGGTATTTCTGCAATTTGCTGAAATTTATGGTGGTGATTCTACAATTTTTAGAATTTTTAGGATGTTATAATTTTCAAGACTACTGGGGCAGTTCTATTTTTTTTTCTTTTTGGGGCTAGTTTTGTTAGAACGAGACCAAGAGAAGTGTGCGATGAATAGTGAACAGTGGAGACCAAGAATAGTGCGCACGATGAACAATATTTTTTTGAGTTTTGATGTGATTTTTGTGATTTGTACGAATCGAAGTTGGGCTCTGATACCAAATTGATGTAGATTGTATTAGTTTATTAGCTCTGATACCAAATTGATGTAGACTAGGAAAAGAAGAATTATGGATGAAAAGAGAAGAAAAAAGGGACGAGAAAAGAGAAAGAATTTGAGAAGGAAGTAATATCAGTATTCAATAATAATCAAAGTTTAATCTAAATAAAACCCTTACATGCATCCCTTTATATAGGAAAACTAAGGCCATGTTTGGTTTAGTTTTTGAAAATTTTTTTTTGTTCTTAAAATTTCGAAAATACTTAAAACCTGTTTGTTTAGCATTTTTGTTCTCTAAATTTTGGGAAAAAATGAGATTTGAGTCAAAGAAACAGAAAACAAGTGTAGCTTATTTTCAAAATTTTTTTTGAAAATTTTGGAAATAAGGAGAACAATTTTGGATGTTCAGATATGAGTACATACATATATATATATATTTATACGTATTTATATATATATATATATTATGAAATTGTCAATATAAAAATAATTTTTTTATTAATGTTTGAATTACTGTTCAAATATATATTTAGACTGTCTCAACAGGTTTTACTATTTTCTATATTGTAAAATTGTTTTTGAAATCATCTAACCAAATAAGTTTTTTATCTCAAAAAATATTAAAACCACTTTCTTAAAACTCTTCTAAAAAACTATTTTGGGATACAATTTTTTGAAACGTAAACCAAACAGGCTCTAAAACTCTAAAACACGTAAATAATGACAAATAAATTCTCAAAAGTTAAAAGATAAATATTAAAAGTATTTAAATAACTATCATAATTAATCTATAGTATCTATTCAATTCCTATACGATTCCCATCATTAGGCCTCAAGTAATCTTCTCTACCAAGATCTTCGGTATGCACATGCTTCAAAGTGGGATTTGATTATTCTCTAACCAAGGTCTTTCTCTCCAATGTGTTAAGTTGGATTTGTCTCAACATGGGGTCGCCTTAGTCTCTAGGGATCTAGTGTTGTTCAAGAATCTCAAGGTATAAAAAGTTAAATTTTGCTCACAAAAAAGATTACCCTATTTTAGGAAGACTCCTTCTATTTATAGGCTTAGACTTTAGTTTGTCTTGGAGACCAAGTAAATCAAAATTCACAAACGTTCACTCAAGTAGTGGAAGAACAGCCAGAGGTCTGTTGTCACTGGAACGAAAAGAAAATTCAAAGTAGAATGGTAGAGTATAGACCACTTGATTAACCTCAGGACCGTTCGAGCCGTCTCAAGACCGCTTGAGCAGCCAGATAATGATCCAAAGGAATTCGTCAGTTTTTCTTGATTTTATCTGTAAGTGTTTAGAGATCACTCTACCCAAAGACAAGCGAACAGAGTGTACTTACTGGTTTTAAAGCAAAAAATTAAGCAAAAATTTGTTCTCTTGAGCATTAAAAGTCGTTTTTCAAGTGGAGCCCGATAAATGACTCAATTTATCATTTCAAAACACATTTAAAGTTTAGAAAATATTTTTCAATAAAAACCCTAGGAGTCATTTTTGAATTTTCCCAATTTCATTTATAACACTAAGCATCTCAAGTCTAATGAATTAGATCAAGAGTTCTTATGTCTCTACGGTCATTACCTTTGTCCTAACTTTGAAGGTGCATTAAAGTTATCTTGATGTGGTATTGTAGCTTGACTTCTTTCCCATCCTTGTTGCTTATGGATCTTGATGCTTGAAGTTTGAAGTTTGAAGTTTGATAATCATGGAATTAGGTTGAGATTATATTAAACTTTACAAAATTAATCAATTACAAACATGTTCCTAACACATTCTTAAATTTGAGGAATGAATTCTCAAGCGTAGTACTGAACTAGGGCATTAGTTATTCACCCGCCAGTTGATAGGCCTCATTAATCATTAGAATCTGAGAATACTAAATATGAACACAACCCATTCTTTTTTCTTTTCCCATGACTGCATGACCAGCTGATTTGGAGCCATTTGACGTTGTCCTAGGATATGATGTTTTCAGCTAGAATATCTACCGTGTGACAAGATGCAGGCCTTTCCTTGTACTAAGTACTCAAAAAGAAAAAATGCTAGTGAAAAATGTCATTCGATCATCATTGGTATTCTTTTGAATTTTCTTTTTACTGGGCCCTTAGTATACCATTGTAGTTTTTTTGTGTGGGATTTCTTTGGATGGGACTGAATAATTTCATTGTAACCTCTGTGACAAAAGGTATAACATGTGCATACATTTTATAAGTTAAAAATTCCATTTGCATTTCTAAATATGCATTCACATTTACTTGCATATCTTGACCTACATATTTAAGCTAGGGTTTGCACAATTTTCTGGTCAAATTTTTTTATTCTAGCAGAACTCAGCAGTACTCTCGCTTCATTGCAGAACATTGCAGATTACTGGCTTCTATCAGATGCAGATGTTAGCATTACTGACATGTGGAAGTCAGATTGTATCCCTCTTACCGTTGTTTTTTTACTATTATTCCGTACATTTTCCAAGTACAAATGCTTAATTCCTTGACTTCAATTATAGCTGGTGTAGAATGGGATGGGGCAAATATGCTTCATGAGGAATTTGGGATGGCTGATGTTGGTACCCCACGGCTACAGAATCCTCCATCTTGTGTTGCTGATGTACCATCTACTGTTATCAATGGCACACCGAGATGATTTGTGTTTGCCTGATAAGCTTGCCTAGGGAACTCCCGTATGCTTCAACCGTAAGCTGTCTTTGCCATCAGGTTCTTTTTATGTATCACCAATTCAATCCTGGAGTTAAATTGAAACATCCTGATGGGCTGGGGCGATGAAATTGCACAAGAAAAACTCCCAAGAGGTCGAGGCACTGGAAAAACCAAAGTTTACGACTTTGATGTACACTTAGAGTTCATCTGGTTCACCCATGATTGAGCAGTGAATAAAGATTAATTTTGCAACAGCACTGGGGTGGATGTTTAAGATAGAATTGCTATGGCACCTGGGAGTGTTCAGAAACACATCACATTAATCAAAGTTAAAGTTAACATGAGAACAATGTTACTTTCATTGTTTTGGTGGTCAATTCTTGCAGGTGTGTTCAGTTAGTTAAAATCTGAAAGGCTTCGATGGTCTAGAAGTGTATGATATATTTTTTTTTGTTACATTGGAAAGTTAAAATAAAACAAACGCCCGAGAAGGGGGCAGGTGAGTTCAAGCTCCACAAATGATCTCAACTCTTCCACTCCACAAATGGACTCAATTTGCTACAGTAAGATTTATAATTTTTTAGGTTTTGACAAATATTTGTGCACTCCTAAGCCAAGTAATCGTGTTGGATTATGTTGATTGGTATCGGGTCTTAAAAGGTTCGTATAAAAAATTATTCAAATATGTATATGATTAATTTGTTAATGGTAAATAAGTAATCGAGTGATATATAATTTATTAAATGGGCAATAGAGTGATAAACAATTTAAGAGTATTTTACTTGAATACAATTTATTTATTCTGCAAGTTAAGTGAAGGGTGATCATTTTTGATTATAACACCACGATGCGATTTGAACTCGACACAAATTTAATGATATGAATTTAATTATAATTTGACGTGAATTTAAAAATGACTCGACACGCGAACACGTATGGGTGTTCATGTGTTGGGTTACACACGAGTCTCATTATTCGGCTCAAAAAATAGGTTCGAAACTTGATAGGTCAAATAGTTTGCTCGCCGAACTCGAGTTCAAACCCGATATCCTTAAAAAGAGAGTTTGAATTTGCCCCTAAACTCATTATCTAGCCCAAATCCAGGTCCAATAACCTATCTGAAAAAACCCGTTAAAACTTGGCTTAAGAACTCACCCATCAAGCCCATCTTGCTCACCATTCATTTGAAAAAAAGTTATACTTTTAAACTATTAAATTTGAAAATTTGAAATAAGTCTTCAAATGTCAGAATTTAAAATTTTAAAAATTTAGATATTACAAATAATGTATTATTTTTTGTTCCATGTATTAAGTATATAAGTTTTAAATGATAGAGTAATGTAAATGATAGATAAGTGAGTAGGTGTTAACTTAGTTGAAATATATTCATTTTATTGGATGTAGTTCATCCCCTAATTAAAAATAAAATTATTCATTATTTTTAAATAAAATTGTATATCAAAGAGCCCACAAGTAGGTTGGACTGCGATTACCCCTACTCGAATCTCGGCCAGTCTCGTCATGCCAATAACTCACTTGAGTAAAGATTTGAGTCTACACCACCAAGGCCTAACCCGAAAAAAATATCGTGGGCCTAGTCCGGCTCGGCTTGGCCCATAGATACCCCTACAAACACGAAATATAAATGAGTCATTTTCGGGTTCAATCTGCCAAACTTGAAATTAACACGATCAACCAATTTATTTAATCAATGACCAAAACGACATGAACACGATTTGATAATTTTTTATCCAAAAGTAACATGCTCAATCTGGTTAAATATAGTATGAAAAGAAAATATGGTCTGGATTTAAAAATATGATGACTATTCTTCCAATGTGGGGGTAAAACAAAACTATTTTAAGTCTAGTAGTTTCAATATCATGATAATTTTTTGAAGGAATTAATTAAAAATGAACACTTTTTCTATCTCCTTGTTTATGGTAATACAAACAATATGAAATTAACATGTTTAATTAATATTATAGAAACGTTCATTAAGCATTGCCATAATTATTGTATAAACAAAATATTTTTACTGATTATTATTATTTAGTTTATTAAGTTAATTTTTAATTTATAGAAAAAATATAAATATGAATTCAATTAAATGAAAATATATTTTTAGAGTTAAATTATTTATTCAAAGTTTATATGAGTCAACACAAATACGATACGAAAATAAATTACTTAATTTAATACGATATAATTAATTAAATAAATTAAATTAAAATTAATTAATGTTCAATAAAAACCCAAAATAATCCATTTGCTTTGATTGAATATCAAACTTCCCTTTTATGTCCTCTACCCACCCCCCCTCCCGGGAAAAACTTTTTTTTTCTTTAAAAGACAAATATGCCCCTCAGGTTGCTAATCAAAGGCTCAAAATCCTTGTCCAAGTAAAAAATAGAGCCCACAAACCCCAATAATTGCTGACCGAAATAGACACGTGGGCTTGACCAAAAACCAAAAAAAATAGAGACGTAGGCAGATACACAGAAATAAACTTAGAGCAAAACTCTCTCTCTCTCTCTCACTCATCTCACTCTGTGGACGACATGACCATGTCAACACCAGCAGACCTTCCTCTCCGACGCCGAAACTCAACCTCAACACCGGTGGTGGTCCCCACTCAACTCAGCCTCCTCCCCTCAGAGACCCACCACCACCACCACCACAACTACAGCTTTCCCACCTCCACCACAACCAGCACAATCACCTCTGCCGCGTCACCATCATCATCGACCATCTCACTCCAATCATTCCCAAACGTCGATTTCGACCTCCTCTCCATCAGACACATATCCTACACTTCTCTGAAGGATCTCTTACCCTCCACGGCGGTCCAGTCCCCGGCGACCCAGTCCCAATCCGAAATCTCGATCCGCAATCGGCTCGTCAATCGGGCCGCCTGGGCCTACCTTCGGCCCATGTCCACCTCGCCGGACTCCGCCGCAACAAACTGCTTCTCCGCTCTGTTTAGCTTCGTCGATCGCCACATCATTCGGACCATAACCCGGATCTTTGACTGGTTGCGCCGACCGTTTTGGATTTGGAGCTCCAGATAACATCAATGAAGTCCGTGACGACGGTAACGTAACAGTAATAGGCTAAAAGTATTGAAGTTTGATCTTTGTTTTAGAGAGTTTTCGTAAATTTACTGAATATTGTAATACCATTTAAGAATACTCATACAAATGAAGGACATAAACATATATAAATGTCATGTAGCAGCTGGAATGACAAATCTGCAAATGAATGAATTTGCAATTGAAGTTTGGGCATTTTTCACTTTGCACCCTTCAAGATTTTAAGATGTTTAGTTTGTATCCTAAAAAATTAAATTCTGAGTTAATAACACTTTTGATCCCTAAAATATTTATTTTTTGTCGGTCTTCAATATATTAATTTTGTCGATTTGATTTTTGAAGTTTTCAATTTGCGTCATTTTGCTCTTTACATAGACGAACTGTAAAGTTTTTGACAAAATTATCACGTGTTGGGCAAGTGGTACCGTCTAAAAAATAATAAGTGATTGCTTTCGTCAAAAAACTTAATGTTCTGTATATGTAGAGACAAAAATAACACGAATTGAATATTGTAGGGACCGAATTAAAAAAATTGATACATTGATGACTAAATTTAAAAAAAAATTATACTTTAAGGACCAAAAGTTTTATTATCCCTTAAATTTTTAATATTGCACTCTCAATATATTATTGAAATATGGCCTCGTGTTAGGTTTTTTGGTCAAACATAAGAGTTATATTTTAATACTTTTGATATGTTGAAAGTATAATGTGAAAAAATTAATTTTTAAAGGTAAAAAATAAGAATTTTAAAATTTTTTGAGGTGTAAAGTGTAATTCGCCCTTAAAGTGTTAATGTAAATAATTATTTTTTTTTTCAATTTAATGGGTTTATTTCCAATTTTATTATTTATCGGGTAGAAATATGGATATCAACGGATTTGGATTGAATTTGTATGATCCTGAATCTTTAATTAGATTTGAGAAATTTGATTTGATTGTGATAAGATTATGAATTCGTTAGATTTTATTTTAGCTGTTCAAAAAATAAAAAAAATCTTATTTTAGCAATTGTACATAAATTTTAGCTTAATTTCATCAAATAATCATAAATTTCTCAGCGTATTCCTGTGTGTTTATTGAGAATTCGAATTGGGTTACAAATAAATCGAATATTCAGATTTAGATAATTGCTTAAAAACTCAATGTATACTCGACTATTTGATTTGGATGTAGGATTAAAAATTCAATCCATCAGCAAACCTAGGCGGAAATGGCTTAAATTGTAAAAATTTCAAACTACAAGATTAAATATGAAACATATCGATGAACAAAAAGAAACAAATTTATTAGGATTTTGTGGTGCAAATTACATAGAAAATAATTCTGATTTTTTTTGGTGTTCTTAAATTTATTTAAAATTCGAATTGGGTGTCAATAAATCCAAATTCAAACCATAAAATAAAAATTAATATTCAAATTTTGGATATTCGATCGATCTATACTCCACTATTTGGTTTTAGATGTCGAAGTGAAATTTGATCTATTGACACACCAAAGTAGGAGTGGCTAAATTGTAAAAAAAATCCAAACTATAGGGTTACATATGAAACAAATAGATGAACAAAAAGAAACAAATGTATTAGGATTTTGTGGTGCAAACTACATAGAAAATAATTCTGAATTTTTGAGTATTTTTAAATATACAATTTTAACACCGTTCAATTGATTCCTTTAAAGCGCCTAAACCTGAATCTACCAGCGTGTAGGCCATGGGCCAGGCCATTTTGTGAGGCGTGGGTTGATCCAGGCCCACTAAGTGATTGTGAAATTGATGTGTCCTTGGTGTGGATGACTTGTGTCTGGCTGTGGAGGTGAACTTGTACTGTCTCTGGATTGTGTGGTTGGGAATCCGAGCGGTCCGAGTTTAGTGATGGTGGAGGAGATGGCGACCGCCTCTTGTCGGACTCCTCCTGGGTGGGCCGCTTGAATGAGGATGATGGTGATTTGGGAGGAGGTGGAGGAGATCCAGTGGTGTAGTGATTGCCAGTCTTCTGCACTTGTAAATTAGAGGTCAAATGTTACAATCAAGGGGTGCTAATTTCATATATTAACATGAACGTGGCACGGAGTCGAAAATGATAAAATTAATTTACACAAATAATAAATAAGTCGGATTAGTAATACAGACTCCAATCCATTGATTTCCAATATTCTAAAGCTTCCGTAGTTTCCAATTGCAACAATGAGAGATTAGGGTTTTCCACATGCACCAAAAACCAAATTAGAGATTATGACACAATTTGTTAACACGACACAAAATTAGATGGTTTAAATACATAAACGAGTAGATTTGACCTGACACGATTAATAAATAAATTGGGTATGAGTGAAGTCAATCAAAAGAAATACCTGACACGACTCGTTTATATACTGATTATACACGATTCATACACAACACGAATTTGATACGACACGAATTGTTAGACATGAATTAATAAACGAATTGAGTATGAGTGAAGTATTTTTTGACACAAACTTGTTAAGACCCGACACGAATTAATTTCACTCGACACAATTGACAGACTTAATAATACCTCCTCAGGGTGGTTATCTCCCTACAAAAAAGAAACTCCTAACCAAGTGGGAATTTTTCATCATTAAAATTCATGGGTCTGTCCATTCGATTCATATTTAAATCCAACAGTGTATATTGCATTAGGTGTTATTAACACAATCAAGATATGAGTTCAAAATGATACGATCTGAATAATATTGCAAAATATGCGTTCAAGAACTGAATAGAAAGAAATAATTACCTCAGAGCCGGCCTTGGTAATGTTTGCAGACTGAAATGCTAAGTATTGCAGCATTTCGAAGAATGTTTTTTGCCCTAAATTGGTGAAGTTTTGCCAAAAATAAATGGCCAAGTCCCATGCTCTGGTCCTCAATTCCTGCAAATTCCTCTCTATATCTGTCTCATGCTTGGCTACATATGGCCGCAAGAAGGTCTCATAGATATAGCCACTTCCCTACATTAACCGGGATCATCTCTACTCGTTTATTAATTAGACTAAAACCCATTAAAACTAAATTAAAACTCACTAAATCATACTAATTTTTTGTCATGTTCGTAGATCATTTCTAAAGTTACATGTAGTTGAGTTAGCTTACCTTTGTTTTTGGATACCATAAGTATATAAAAAGTGCAAGCTTCATCTCACCATACATTGGGAACCTAGAGAGGAGCAAAGTACAACATAAAATGAATTCTCTCAATTACCAACAAGGGTTTATAAAGGTTAGCAGGATTGCATACCATGACACAAATACATCACCAATCCTCTCAAGAACCGTCAGAAGTGCAACGATTATCCTGAAAAGATTTTCAGTTATTATTCATAAAATAACGAAATCTCTTTTGAGCGGCAAACTTACACCCCACCCCAACCCCTTCAAACTCGTGTGTACGTGCGCGCGCGCACACACACACACACTAAGCTATTATTTGGAAATCGTTTTTATAAAAATAAAAAAAATTGTCAAAAAAACAAAGCATATTTGATTATTATGTCGCAAAGGTGATCTATATGCATCACAACATATATATTCCAATTTTACACATGCACAAAAAAAAAAAAAAGATACTTCAAGAGGCTAAAACAAGAAAAAGAACTTGTCAAATGATATCAAAAGAACCTAAATTATTCAAAGAACTGAGTCCACCAGAGATCAGATTGGCCTCATACATGTCTAAGACACCAAAACCACAATACCCAAAAACGAAATACTTCATTTGTTGAAACAAAACAATGAAAATTGTAGACTCTTTCTTACCAATATTGACACCAGAAGCTAAGATCTTCTATCTCTACTTTGTTCTTCTCCACGGTTTTGAAACACTCAAAGGCAGGATAGGCATATCCAAGAACCAACCTACCACCAACCCAAAATGAAAAATCAACTATAGATGGTAAAAAGGGAAAAAAAAAACAAAGAATCACCATAACAATGACAAGAAAATGGATTGTACATAGATGACATACACAAGACCTCTGTTAATTAAATCTCCCAACATCTTTAATGTGTGAAAAACGCCGCCAATTTTCCTAAAATAACCACAAAATAATCATAGATTAATCATTTGACATGTAATTCATCGTACTGTTATACGTTGAAGATAAAACAAAAAAAAAAGGTAATCGTAACAGTTTTATAATAAAACCTCTGGGAAAGAACAAAGAATCCAGAATTCAAGAAGCAATTGCACCAAATAATTAGTGATCCGCCACAATGGTATTAGAAGCAACCGTGTGACTTATTGAAAAGCTGCATTCAAAATGAAAAACTAATCAAAAATATTTCCAAAAAACAATGGTACTCCAAGAATATAAAGATAGTAATCAATGAAGGTTGGGGAAAAGCGACTTGTGTAACCTTTGGTGCAAAAGACAGGATTTTTGGTTCTGGGTGTTTGGGAAATGGAGGCAAATATGCAGAGAAGAGAGGAAGAAGTTGGTTATAGCGAGGTTAATTTGTAAAACTGTGTGTGTGTATATATATATATATGTGTGTGTGTGTGTGCAGTTTTGTATTTATATATCACAACGATTTGGATTGGGTTCTTTGGGATTCCTCAGATGGGTCGTTACTGTTTGGCGGTTATGTTCTGAAAAGGGTATTCTCGTCATTTTCTTGGTCATTATTCTCCCTTTTCAAAGTTCAAATGGAAGAATAAAACACTTCATAAATCCTGGGGAAATCACTAGGGTGCCGAATAAAAAGAATTTGATACCGTACTTTTAAAATTTATTATTTTTGTAAGTGTTTTTATAATTTTTATAAGTATTTTTATAACAAAAAAAATTATCAATTTTGTGGGTGATTTATCACTTTTGTGAATATTTTTATTACTTTCGTGTTAACTATTTTTTCCACTTTTTTTTTGGTACAAAAAAAAGTATTACTTTTGTGGATAATTTATTATTTTTTAGGTGTTTTTACCACTTTTTTTTTAGTACCATAATAGTAGTAAAAATATACACAAAAGTGATAAATATCGGTATGGTATCAAATTTTTTTTCTCTCTCGGTATCATAGATAACTCCTAAAATCTGGATATTCATGCCAGTACATTTTCTCTTCAATTCTTTTCTTTACAGATCATCCATCATTAGTAAGTGAGAGGTCCACTGACATACAATAGATCCCATTTTAATCTATAGTAAATGATCGGTTAAGAAGAGAATCAAAGAAAAAATGTATTAGAGATGATCTCACTCTATTAAATCCACTACGAAGAATTTGCAGTTGACCATACACCAATGGTACTCTCACCATGCTTACTGTAATTTTGTTTTGTGCATTCATAAGAGTAAGAAATATTCCAATGTTAAACGTTTTCCCACTTGTTTCTGCTAAATTATTCTTAATTGTTCAATTTTAACAAAACCCTGGTTTTGGTCAATCGATGTAATCCAAAATTTTGTCTCATTTTTTCGGATGGGTCGATAAACGGTTCGATTTGGTATGGTGTTCTTTTTTTTTTGGTTTTTGTTTTTGTTTCTGAAATATACAAACAATGTAGAAGTTCCCCTTTATCTGAAAAATGTGTTTACTAAATACGCTTTCACACAAAAGACCGTAATCTGCTTTCCTTTAGCTAGCAGCTTCCTTTCTTGCCTCAAACTTCATGGTAAATCGGATTAAATCACATGATGAACCCTTCTTTTTCTTTCTTTGCCTGAATTTCTTGAAATCTTAGTGCATATCTTCCTATGGATTTCAAGTCAAACAATGCATCTAAGAAGCCATTGCCTCTGTCAAAGTTTAGAATCCCAAATTTATGAGCAATGAAGGCGTGAAAATTGCTCAGGCATGCCCTCAATATGAGCAAAATTGATCTTGATTTATGAGTTTTTTAATGCAAAATTGATCATGATCAGGATGAATGCACAATGTCAAGAGCTGAATTTTTTGTGTTGAAGTGCTAATCAATTCAAAAGAACAACTTGATATCAGATCAAAGAAAAACATTCACCCAGAATAATAACCATCCCAAATTTTTTTTTATCAAACCCGTTTTAATTTCTAATGGGTATTAAGAGAACAACTGCAAGACAGAAAGAGTATGTGGGTGTGCGTGCAAGATCCTGCACAATATAAAAAACGAGAACAGATCTCTCCCTTGATGAACTCGAGTGAGCCAGTTGAGTGACCAAACACGCTGCTTGGAACAGCCTGCGGGGTCCGGTGGTAACCTGGAACGGCAACGGGCGACCCTGAGAAAGGAAGAACGATCCTGTAAGGCTGAAAGAGGTTCCTGGAACAAAGAAGAACAAGTTAGAAGGGCGCCGGAGTGTTTTCCGGCGTATCCCCTCCGACGATCTAGTCAGTCTTTGAGAGAGAGAGAGAGAGGAAGGAGAAAACACTGAGTGTGTATTGTAGTAAAGAGTTTATTGTTGCATACCCGTCTTGCCTTTTGCAAGGAGTATTTATACCTCAAAAGCTCATCATTGCTGTCAGTGTAGTCAGTAGGTGATCATTAGGTACAGGCAGTGTGCGCACTGATTCCGATGAGGAATGTCTTCTCTTCTTAAATGCTCGGGGTCCCGAGCAATCAATGCTTTGTCATCGGGATGCCGATGGTACAATGTGCTCCTCTCGGGGAGGATGCAATAAATGCTCTGTAATAGGAGCATTTATTGCCTTTCATTTCCGAGCCTTACCGCATTGAATGCGGTCTCATCAAGGGAATGGTGCAATTAATTGTTTGCTTTCCCAAGTCGTGTGTCAGCAACGACATGCGTTTTCTCTGTTTCGATGTGATATCATTTGCCACGCGTCCATCTCTTAATGGCTGTGACCCCTGCATTCCAGTACGTTCTGACACTAATTGTGTAAGACGAGGTCATGATGAATAGCCTAGACTAGCATAGACTAATGACCTGTACGTCAATAGCTTATCCTGGAGTAGAGGAAGCGTCCAGGACGGGGTACCTCTCGGCACCGAGGAAAGGCTCATCTCGGGGACCGAGGGAGGTATGCCGACCGAGGTACATATCAGACCGAGGCCACGTGTTGGTTGTAAAACATACTGAATGCATGATCCTATATAACGAGTACCTCGGGGGTGAGGACCTTTGCCCGCCGATGATGCTTGATCTTATCAACAGTGTTTTGGTAATACCGAGGACATGTGTCTTCATCATGGAGTATCTCAGAAAAGTCCCATCAACTGCCCCCCAGCCTTCGATCTTCTGACATCGAGGACACGCGTCGTAAGGAGACGAAGGGTTTCCCAACAACCACCTGTGCTTCATCATTGCTTCGAGCCGCTTTCCCCGTCTTGGGATGTCGTGCGCATTAAATGCGCCATTTCGTTTTTCGCGCCCAATGATAAAAACTGCCTCTATATAAAGGGGGCTCCTCTTCTGGTTTCCTTGTTTTGCCATTTCGAACTTCCTCAAGAGAGCCTCTTCTTGAATCTTCGCCGGAGATTTGTTTCTTCTTCCATCGTCGATTGCCCATTCTTCCTTAAAGTCTTAAAGCCAGCAGACCCATCGTTGCTTCTGAACTTTCTGGAAGGAGTCGCTTTAAGGTTTTCCAAAAAAAACTTCGTTTTGACATTCGAGTGAGTTTCAGAATCCTCCTTCTTTTCTTCCTCCTATCCTTTTGTTTTTCGATAACTGGAGGTGTCTCCGGTTTGATACATAGCGATTTAACCCTCGGGAAACTTCCTCAGGGATTTTCAAGAACAAATACCCTCTTCTTTCTTACTTTTTTAGAGATGCCTCGTCGTCGTCCTGCTCCCGAGAATTCTCAGGCTGGTCCTTCGGGGACGGGGAAATATAAAGTAAAGGGTGGTGAGCAGATTGATAGGTTTAAGGTCAAGTACGGCATTCCCCCGTGCGTAGACGTAGAGGATTATGACCCTGTGGTGCACTCTTCTACCCTCGGGGCCGAGGATGCCATGCCCTTTTATACCAAGGCCATAATAGAGGGAGGAATTAGGTTTCCTTTACCCCCCTTACTTCTTCAGTTCCTTTCTCACTTTCGCCTCTTCCCCGGGCAATGTTGCCTTAATGTTTTCCGAATAATTATGGGGGTCTTAGAGCTCAATAGGCGCCTCGGGGTAAATATTGGGCTCAACGATCTCCTTTTTTATTATTCCCTCCTGAGAGTCATGCCTCACCAACACTTCTACCTCAAAGCTAGGGACCCCTCCATGTACCTTGTAACTCATCTTCCCGACTCGGACAAGGGGTACAAGGATGATATTCTTATCTTCAAGGGATCTTGGCAAAGAGGTGTTGGTCCCGAGTATAATGACTTGTTATGCCCTCTGGAATGGAGAACGACAAGTACGTCGGTTCCTTTGGGTTTATTATTTCTTTCTCCAGACTTCCCATGTTCATGACTATTTTGTTTGTGCAGATATTCCTGCTCGGGAAATAGCTCCTCCCCCTCGGTCGCTGGTGAACTTTGCCGACCTAATCACGGTTTGGAGATTCACGGGTGACAACGGGTTTGGCCGTGCTGCTCACATCCTGCTGAATTATACCCCCGGGTATAAGAAATTTTCACAGCTTCCTCAGCCTTTTGAGCCTTCGCGGTGGTCTGAACTCTTCGATCAGGCGGCGAGGCTAGAGGTTGAGGAAAACTTGGAGGAAGACCCGGATCGGACTTCGGAGGCAGAGGTAGAGGGAGTTGCTGAAGAGCTCGGGGTCAGAGAGGACGTTGTTCCTTCGGACGCCGAGGTGGGGACTTCGGGAGGAGACTTGTGGCCAGACTTCTAAGTCCTACAATCTTTAGATGCTGAGGACGCCCTCGAGATAGCGATGTCCAGCACCCCTCGCATTGATCTGGGTTTCCTGAGGCAGAGGCAAGCCCTTGCAGTCGGGAGGGGTCGAGGATCGACCGGTGGCGCCCCCTCCGCAGGGACCAGTTCCACCCCATCCTCAAGAGTTCTCAGCCGGGGTCAAGTGTGTGATCGGGATCCTCAGGTAGAGGAGGAAAGAAGGGTCAAACATTGGCACGATGGCCTCGGCCGGGGATCCAGGGCACCTTCCGCTCAGCAGCAAAGCGGGAGAGGCCGTGGGTTACCCCCTGCTCCTCCACAACAGCAGCAGCAGCAACAACCACGACAACAGCAACAACAGCAGCAGCAGACTCCCCCTTCCCTTCCGCCTACAGTGGAGGCCGCAGAGTGAAATCCCCGAGCCACTGATCACATGAACCGAGTGATCAGGGTCGATGATTCCATTTTGCTGGATCCTCATGTCGCCAATGCAGTGAGTGAGACACTGCATTTCGAGGCTGATATGGCGGCTCACAGGGGGCGTTCAACGAACGTGTTGTTCCGCTCCATCATCCAGAATTCCCTGGTGGTAAGTTCATTTCTGCTTTGGTTTCTTCTCTCTTGCTTTCCACTTTTGTGACACCTTTTTCCCTCCTTTGCAGGCTACCCAACAGATATCCATAATAGCTGCCCGGTACCACGGGTC